TGACCAAAAGGATACTGCAATGGTTGTAAGTATGAAAAATGATCATAAGTCACTTCTTTCAGTGATGCTGTAACTTTGAACGGTCATTAAATGAACTGTTGTAAGTCAAAGACTACCTGTATATCTCTGAAATATGAAAAGCCTTGAAAGAGCCTAAGTACAAATTCGTCCATTTGTTTATCCTACCAGGAAATGTGCAGCTGCATAAAAAAATTGCAGCTACTTGTCATAGGGCTACTGAATTGGGATAATGTAGATAATATGCATTCCATAATGTGGCGAAGTATAATATGTAATGGACCATCCTTTTTTTGACAAAAATATATTTTGAAAGCCTAACATTCCTACCATCTTGATATAGATCTAGGAAATATTCATCTCTGAAACCCTAGAGTAGTATTTCTCAACCTTGGTAGCTTGAAGATGGGTGGACCTCAACTCCCAGAATCCCCCAGCCAGCAGCACTGGCTGGGGGATTCTGGGAGTTGAAGTCCACTGATCTTCAAGCTTCCATGGTTGAGAAACACTGCTCTAGAAAAATATTGCCAATCAGCATAGATGGTATCAACTTAATGGATCAATATGTTAAACTCTGATAAAGTAATTTCTGTGTTTCCTAAAGTAGTTAAATTATGATCTGTAGCCTGTGAAGTTATGCTGTTTCATTGTTTAATGCAGTTCATAAATCTGACTCAGTCCAGGAATCAATACAGAAGTAAATCACATTAAAATGATGGGCAGATGTCGATTTATGCTGGATAGTTTTGCTCTACATTCTGTCATATCTACCTTTGTTAATAGTTTTGTATAGTGCAGGGGTGTCAAAATGGCAGCCCCCAGGCCGGATGAGTCATGTGCATGCCACGCCCACCCCAGCTCCATGAAGGGGGGAAAATGTCACAATACGTCATGTGACAGCAATGTGACACCATGAGTTTGACACCTGTGATCTAGTGCAATCTTCCATCTGTCAGACCTAGACTGCAAAAATATTACTGGCTAATACAGATAGTCCTTGACTTACAACCACAGTTGAGCCCAAAATTTTTGTTGCTAAGTGAAACACTTGTTAAGTGAGTTTTGCTTCATTTTACAACCTTTCTTGTCACAATTGTTAAGTGGATTACTGCAGGTGTTAAGTTAGTAACATGACTGTTAAGTGAATCTGGCTTCCCCATTGAGTTTGCTTGTCAGAAGGTCACAAAAGGTGATCCCACAACTGGACACTGCAACAGTCATAAATATGAGCCAGTTGCCAAGAGTCTGAATTTTGATCATGTGACCATGGGATGCATCAATGATGATAAATGTGAAAAACGGTCATAAGTGACTTTTTTCAGTGCTGTTGTAGCTTCAATCACTAAGTGAACTGTTGTAAATTGAGGACTACCTATAGATAACTTCAAAAATTAAGCATCTTTTTGCTGCTATTTTCAGTCGTCCATATTTTTTTTTTAAGGTGGGCAAGGGCGGACAGGCTGTATAATTGTAGGATTTTATTTGTTTTTAAATCTGGAGGTGCATTTAGTTGTAAAAACAATCACAAATCATCATAGTTCTTTTAATTTGTCTTAGATTCTTAGATTACCAATCTTAGATTACCAATCTTAGATTGTTTTAGATTTCTTAGATTACCTTACTGGCCATTTGGTTAATAAAAAATAATCCTCTCACTGATGTTCCAATGGTTGATATTTGCAATAATTTAGTAGTGTGAAACAGTTGAAGAAATCCCTATAGGCAATGATCTAGCCCAGGGGTCCCCAACCTTGGCAACTTTAAGCCTGGAGGACTTTGTTGGCTGGGGAATTCTGGGAGTTGAAGTCCTCCAGGCTTAAAGTTGCCAAGATTGGAGACCCCTGGGCTAGCCCTCACTAGTATTTCAGTTGTTATTTTGTGCACACTTTTTTCCCCCATGTGTATCAGCAGGAAGAAATAAGAACAGGCTCATACTTGGCCTAGGCTACTGGTCGACTGCATTCCCAATTTTCTTATCAACTTCCCTTTTTCATTTCGGTGTCTCCTTCAGCGACCCTTACCAGTGTCCTTGGCTTTTCCCCATTCTTAACATTCCAAACACTTTTGCTGAAAACTATGTTTATCTGCATCTTCATTTCAATTTATATGCAGACCAAACGACCTACACAGTATATACCAGTTTGGGTGCAGAGAATGCAAAGCCAAGATTCTTTGTATAGAACAGTTCACAAATGGAACATTTCTGATATTGCTACTGCTAACATATAAACACATTTATCCTGTGTTCCATATTTGGGTATTTTTAGAAGCAAAAAATAAGGGGTGACACAAAGCAAAAGAGTGGTCTTCTGAGGTTAGGACTCAAATGCACAAAAAGTAAAAGAAAAAACAAATTCTAATATTGATAAGGGGAAGTGGAGTAGGAGAGGAAAAAATGTTCCTATTCCACAGCTGGATGGTGGTCCATTGAAAGTATGGTTAAGAATTCGAAGTAATCAGGTATATATTTCATTCAAGTGAGTAATTGTCTTCCTATATGTCTGTCATAAATTTCTTTTTTCTTCCTTTCTTTCTTTTTCTTTCTTTCTTTCTTTCTTTCTTTCTTTCTTTCTTTCTTTCTTTTCTTTCTTTCTTCCTTTTCCTTTTCTTTCCATCTATCGTCTGTCTGTCTGTCTATCTATCTATCTATGTATCTATCATCTTGTAATTATTTCAATAGTTGAAGTTGTACAATATTTCTCTCTCTCTCTCTCTCTCTCTCTCTCTCTCTCTCTCCCTCTCCCTCTCCCTCTCCCTCTCCCTCTCCCTCTTTCTCTCTCTGAAATTGGCTTCTATGAGAGCAACAGTGGAGTAGGAAAAAAGACTCAGGGAAGATCAAGTATACACATAGCATGGCTAGCCGTCATGGTAAGTTACGGCAAGGGTAGAACCTACCTCTATCATGAGATCTCCAAACCCTGTCAGTTGATTGAGAATATGGAACTTTGAAAGAGATTTTAATTCTTTCTGATAAGAGGGATAGAATTTTTTTCTTAGGTATATTCAAATATGATATCTACACCTGGGCATATAACTTCACTTGTTGAAATGCTAAACATTTTTTCTCTTTGTAGAGCAGCATAAACTAAAAAGACTTAAATTTCAAAGGAAGACTGCTTTCCATTTTGTCAGCTAGATCAATATGAGAATGGAAATTCTCTACAGTTGTTTCCATAGCGATTTATCACTGCTACTGTCACAATTGACATCAGTTATCACAATGAACATCACCTCCAACATAAGGGCTTCAGAAATGCCAATTTCACAGTCTGTGCACAATGACAACTACTTCTAGCTTAGTAGTATGAAATATTACTAGAGTTTGTGTATGTATTTTGGGAGTGGGAGGTTTAAGGGAAAATGTTAAGCTTATATATGAAAGATAACTCAAAAAGATTTGGGGAGAGGCATAAGGATTACTCTAACAATAAAATCAAGACACTCCTATTTTTTTTTTCTTATTTGAAAGGGAATTCTTTCACAGATGGCCCTTAAGCAAAAAATTAGAATTTTTCTACCTGATCTGATAGCCATAGCGGGTTCCCCCACCCCCTGTGCAATGGGAATGTATATATAGAGCAATGAAATATGTCACATGAAAAATCACAGAAACCACAGAAAACAAAAAAGTTAAGGGCATCAGACAAACAGGTAAATATAATTACATGAAATAAAGGATGTCAGTCAATATAAGGACAAACAAACGGCCTTAAGGGACATCATGAAAGTCTGATAAAAGAATCACAAGTTTCCTTGTAGCAGAAAGGGATATATAGATGGTTAATGTGTACAAAAGATTATGGTCAGAGATGCAAAGTAAATTATACATTTCATGAATGAAACATGGGAGGAAAATAAAAAAGGAATTCAGAAGATTCAAATAAACATGGTTTTGTGGAAATTGGGCAATACCAAAAATTCTATAGAAAGAAGAAAATGGAGTTGGATGGCTGAGTGACTCAAAATATGAGAAATATTTTGCGTAACAGATAGTATAATGAAAAATGCAATCACCCATACATTTTCCTATTAATAGTTTGCAAGAAAGGTAAAGGGCATAAAATATTTTAAGACACTGAAATGGAATAAAGCTATGCAATAGCACTATTATGTATTTGTGATAATGCAAAAATTGGCAGAAATCCACTGTAAGCGAGGTGCTTATTTGATCAGATCCCACTCCCAATACATGAGATTGTAGATTGGTGTTCTGGGACTCCTTGATAGCGAATTCTATAAAGAGAAATTATAGTTCAGCACCATAGCATATTTTGTGGGAAAAAATACCTTTCTAACATTAATCTGTAATATTTTCAGTTTTAAAGGAGTTTGACTAGAGTGGCTGGTGACAACCTTGGCCTGAATCATTGACAATAAAAGCTGGAGCATGGCTTCACAGACATCACATAGTATTGTTGAATCTAAGCAGGTTTGTGCCTGGTCAAGGCTGGACTAGAACTGGGGATCTTAAGTTCTGCAGTTACAGAAAAGTGGTGATTGAAATATTATAACTAAATAAAATAAAAAGGTGGAGTATAGTCAATATAAGGCAGATTTTTATATTCATATACTTTATCATGCTAACTTGTGTTTAATTTTTTTTTGGAGTTTTTTGTTATATTTCTTATACTGAAAAAGAGGTTCCATATTTGTATGGCAGCTCTAAAGAACTTTAGTTTATATTCCTGGGAATGTGTGCATAACAAATCATTGGTAGAATTCATTGTGACCTCACATAATACATAATTCTTAATATTCTTGCAGGTCTATGTTCATCTTACTAAAATCATTTGCATTCTACACAAATTCAAAAATCATAGTTTTGTGTAAAACCTTGAATAATATTTCACGTAAAGGTATAAATCTGGTTTGAACAATGAAAAGTAGAAATTAAAGATAGATGAAATTCAGTTACCCCATCAATGCATCTGACTAGAACAAGTAATGTTTGTAGAGAATTCAAGAATAGTGGATACACTTACTGTAGTTTACAGGATAAGTACAGATTTATAACCAATTGTGTAATTTCAAATGTAATTTCAACATATCTTTTTTACAATGCTCACAGTAGAGAACATCAGCTGTATTAACAGGACTTCTTTATCAAAATTATCTCAAAACAAGCCACCAACCACTGTACAATTACAAATCACCACCACATTTTTAATTTGTACATGAATATGAAGGACTTAAATTCCTTTGACAATTGATGATCATGAACCCACAAAATCTATAAATTGTACGATGTCAAAAACACAATCAGTCCTTCCCAAAGGAGAAAAGAGAAGAAAACAACAAAGAAGTGGATCTGTGTCTGAGTGATGGACAAAACTTGTCTACACGTTCTATAAAATTCAGACATTCCAACAAAGTAATACTTGAATATTGCCTCACTGAACTAGTAAAAACTAGATTGCTTTTATTTGTTTTGTGATTTCCCAGATTGCCAGTATCTGTAGCAAAAAGATTGAAAAAAAAAAGTCATTTCATGGCACTATTTCATTGGATTTAGGCAATGGTATATTCTGCTGCTGTTGATTTTCCTTATTGACTTGGTAGCTGTGAAATCCATATGCTAATGCTTCTAATGATCAACCATTCCTTTTGGCTTTTGGTAACAAGTATTCTCATGCAGTTAATATCAAAAAGAACTTTATGCTCCACATCTGTGATTTCCAAATTTCCATTTTTAAATTCTCCTAGTCTCAAGAAGGTAGTACATTGCCTTTCCTTTTTGCCCCCAACAGTTTTTTCTCCAACTTCCAGAGCACCATGATGCAAAACATCATTTTGACGGTCTTCAGTACCAGTGACAACTTTGATTTTGTTAATTTTAAGAGGCCTATCAAAGACAACGACATAAAAAATCTCCAGTAGAGGGTGCTTTCGCCCAGAAGTATTCATCCACACTACTATAGGCCTTGCTCGCCTCATAATTCTCAAATACATTCATATTGGTATGCAAATTGGCAGGAGGGTTATCTGGAAGGTCAAATGAATCCTCTTCAAAGTCATCATCTTTTAATTTATTTTCAGCTCCTTTGTAAGATGAGTAATATCCCATGTGCTGAAAAAGGGATGGTTTGAAGCGTATGACATCCTTTTGAGCCAACAGTCCACGGAAATGTATCAGCAACCAATCACAAGGCATTTCCTGGTAGAACATCAATAAAAAATGAGCCAAACGAGGGAGATCATGGGAATGATACAATTTCCCAATGTAACCCAACTTGGAAAATTCTAAAGTTACCCAGTAGGTTCCCTCTCGTGAAGTTATGACTTTCTTAATAACAGTCAAGAAGTTTTTTGCACATCTAACATCATCCTCTAACATTACATAATAATCAGAAAGGTTAGCACAAAAGTTAAGCAAGAATGCATAATCAACATTTTGCTTGGAGCGAAATTTCACCCGGTCTTCTGGATCATTGTAATTTCTCTTAAGTCCATCCAAAGCTGGATAATATTCCTCTGGTGTATGGATTACCATTAATCTGCCAGCAATTACATGATGGGCAAATTTCTGTGAAATATCTTGAACCATGCTATCACACCAGGTGGAGTCAAATTCTGCCAGATGTACGACCACAGCAATTTCTTTCAGTTCTTCATAACTTGACTGTTCAAATATGGATTTGATTGTCTCCAGCAAATAATTCCCTTTTTTCCGTTTGACTGAAGATAGTCCAATGGTAAGATATCCTGAATAATAACAACAAAAATAAAAACAATATTTAAGTTCTATAGAACTGAGCAATAAAAGCAAATTCATAACAAATGATCTGGAAGATAAAAACATAACCAAGAAATATGTGTGCATGTCCAGAAGAACGTTTCCCTTTTTGCTTTGGCTGCTTTTGAAGCAGCCCTTCTTGCATATATCGCTTAGCAAACATTTTGCCTTGTCCATCCGTCCATTCATCCATCCATCCATCCATCCATCCATCCATCCATCCCCCTATCTCAAAAAAGAAAGGGCCTCTTACCTTTCAAGTAATAGAGTTTTAGACAATATGTGTTAAAGCGTGTGAACTAAATTATGCTAAAATGTCTTCATTTGAAAGTGGTGGGATAGCAATAACAATAGCACTTAGACTTATATACTGCTTCATAGTGCTTTCCAGCCCTCTCTAAGTGGTTTACAGAGTCAGCATATTGCCCCCAACAATCTGGGTCCTCATTTTACCCACCTTGGAAGAATGGAAGGCTGAGTCAACCTTGAGCCTGGTGAGATTCAAACTGCCAAACTGCTGGCAGCCAGTGATCAGCAGAAGTAGCCTGCAGTACTGCACTCTAACCACTGCGCCACTGCGGCTCTTCCATTGATTTTAACTGTACTTAAGTCTATCTGGGCTCATGTAAGAATATATTTTGAATTGGCTTTCAAAATTGCTTGGGAGACATAATTTTGGCACTTTGAATTCAAAGCACCAAAACCGACAGTTTTATAAATAATATCTTCTCTATTGCACCCTAGTATGTTTGCCTTCTCATTTTAGAAGAAATGAAGCCACATCTCGAACAAGCAGAGAAAGCAATTGCTGTTGTATCAAAATTACCATGTGGTGAATGTGGATACAGAACCTTAGGGATGGTTCCTCATGCTCATCCAAACAAACAAAGACCTATTTTTAGGAGCCTGGAAACAAAGAAGAATTAAGAATTCCCTTAATTTCTACAAAGTTTTGGCTTATTTATAAGCTATAGCTATCATTATTAAAATACAGCATAGTTATACAAATTGTATGTCTGTGTTTCTTTGGAGATCTGTAGATGTTGGTAGTTTGGATTTATCAGGACAAATTTGATTCCAGATATTATTAAAAGTCTTCTGCTGATGGTATATTATGAAATATTTTGCATTGCATCTAATAAATAACTTTACTGTAGATTATATGAGCCCATCAACCTCAACTGTATGTTTACATCATCACAGGTTTTTGATGACACTAAATCTTTTTAGAATGCCAACTGTTTTCTTAAATATGGTTATCATTCTATCTTTAGATAAACAGAGGGCCTTGGTAGAAAACTGAATCTCTCATGTAATCCATAAATGAAAATGAAATAGTATTAAGTTGAACTATGGTGTTCCCCAACAGCTACCTAATTCCAAGAGCAGACAAAGATTGTTGAACTCTGAATGTGCAATGAAAAGACTGAGCAGGAAAATGTCTTCACGGGAATGTGTCTTAACAATGAATTCTTCCCAAACAAGTTCTTTGAAGAAGCCAGAACTAACAACGTTTTTTTGTAATCCTTTGTTCATGCCAGGAGAAAAGACATAAAAGAACTCAGCTGGCAAAACCAATCATTTCCTGATATTTTTAAAATTTCTATCATTTTTATTTCTTCCATTTTTCTTAGGTAACCACTAACTGTGCCTCAGGACAGAAATCCCCGAAAGAAAGATAAGGTTATGTCTGTGTATGGGGCAAGGTTGCCTAGCACTGATGGAAAAGGTAATCTCTCTCTCTCTCTCCCTCCCTCTCTTTCTCTTTTTATCTTTCTCTCATTCTCCCCTCATTAATTAGAGGCTCTTTCTAGCTTTTTTGCCTAGAAAGCAACCTCTCTTTTTATTCTCAGATTCCAAGTTAAGCTGTGAGCTTCAACATGCTCAAATGTTCCCTGCTTAGCATCTAAATATGTGTGTGTGATGTAATTTAAAGATGTAATGCTACATCTTTAAAATCTTTTTTTTTTTTTTTTTTTTTTTTTTGCTGTAGCAAGAAATTTAATACTACCTCTGTACATTTCTTTCTTTGTTATAACAATAAGCCTCAGGATTTTTCTTCTTCACTGCTGTAGCAAGAAACCACATCTTTTTATATATTTCTTTGCTTGCTTCCTTGCTTTTACTTACTCGTCTATGGCTAAATTCTCTGTATGTTCCATTAAAGAAGATCACTTCTCAAATTCCACTACTTCCTTTCTTTGAACTTGCATTCTCTTTTTCTCTCATTGAATGCAATATAATTCCATCCACCAGAGATGGTTAACTGCTCAAATTCTCTGGATTAGCATTTGGACTGTAATTGTTTAAGAATGCTGTCTGAAACTGTTAATAGTATCTATGGACTATCAAAGGATTATTTGATTGCATTATATGTCTTTTAGATCAAATATTTCTCAATACGATGTACTAATGGATTATTAATTATAGCTTAATTTTAGACTTCCAGATTGCAGAAACCATTTATAAGTCTCTGGATCCTAGAGAGAAATGGTATGAGGTGGTAGGTCCCCCTCCCCCCCCTTTTTTTGTAACCTGGGTCAAAATATGATTTCTTTGCTTTTGCTTTAGAATTTTGTATGCATCTACTCATGATGGCATGGAAACATAATTATGGTTGAGATTGATTCAATTATTTTTGGTTAAAAGAAATGACTTATTGTAATGTGTAAACTAGCTTTTTTCCTCTAATTTACCTGTAGTTTGTGGGAGCAATATGTGAGCAAAATTACTCAGTTGGCTGCTTAATGAGAATATGAGATATTAAAAATGATTCTCAGATCTATGGAAAAATGTCATAACTACTAAAAGTAGAGCTTCTCTATTTGTTTGATATCCCACTTTTGAAAGGGAAATGGCTGAGATCTCTTATATCTAAACCTCAGCAGAGACAGGAAACATCTGGCTCACCTTTTCTGGACTTGGAAGTTGAGTAAATTTAATCCTGGTTAGTACTTGAACTAACCAATGAACCCCAGAGAAATAAACTAGGCAGGGAAAGTAAAAGAAAAAGAAAAAGAAATATCCTTCTGGAAGAAAGCAATGACAAATTACTTCAATACAGCTAGCAAGCATGTCCAGGGGTCCCCCAGGAGTTGACCTCACCTTGAGGACATGTTTATTTTTATACCATGTAAAGATAAAATTCTAGGTGGATCAAAAGGTGTTCCCCAGTTCAGCAAGATTACAGAGCCCTAGCTCTTCTTCTGAGTTGCACATAAGCTTTTTATGTTCTGTGAAAAAGGAGTTTATTAATTTAATGGCAACTTAAAGCTTTTTTCATTGCCCTCTAAAAAGCTGATGAACTTACATCTGCCACATTTTCTTTGTGATATTTAGAATAGATAAAAACACTATTTGTTGTTAAGAAAATGGAAAAATTCTGTTACTTACTTTTTCTTAGTAAAGGTGTGCCAGCCAGATAGCGATAGGAAACATTTATTGATCCTGAGAAGTTGGACAGATCTTTAAAACTGTGAACATATCGCTCAGAATTTAATTGATGTGTTGCCGTATCTCTGATTAACTGCTTATCTCCATTCTAGAAGTTGGAAGAGAAAAGAAAAACAACATAAAAGACACACAGCATAAATATTGTAAGACGGGGAAGGAAGCAATATGAACAATATCTTGTATTATTTATCTGCTTCTATCTTACTTTATATCCAATCCAGGTACCGGCATGTTTAACACATATATAATGTCTCCTATGTTTTCCAGCACCAAGACAGGCCATATCATTCATGTTATGTCAGATTTGTTCAGGCCTATATATAGGCTCTTATAGATAGTTCTCAGGTATGGAACTACCAAATGCTCTTAAGGAGAAAGCAAGTAGTGTTAAATACTCCAAAATGTAATGGGCTAGAACCCAATCTCTTTTGTTTGAGAAGAATGATATCTATTGTTTTGCTTTGGTAACAGGCTGGATTGTCTATTTGGAACTGTACCAGCTCTCACATTTGTTAACTTTGATCCCTTTCAATCAATGGCAGGTAATCACAGGAGTGAATAGTACTCCTATAAGAACAGCAAGACTGCCAGAAGTCACAATTTAGGTTATCTATCTAGCTATCTAGGCATTAACTGGATATATCTCAATCTAGCAGCCTAGTACTTTTTTCCAGCAGTTGCACCCAAAATTATAGGAAAGAGGTTAGTGGGTGTTGCTTATATTAGTAGAGAAAAACTGAAAGTTTTAGTGGATTTATGAAAGTGACTAAGTTTGTATAATAATAATAATAATAATAATAATAATAATAATAATAATAATAATTTTATTTCTATACCGCCCTTCTCCCAAAGGACTCAGGGTGGTGTACAGCCAATTTAAAAACACAAGACACAACAATTATTAAAAATTAAAATTATTAAATAGATTTGGCCGATTTAAAACCCCAAAAATTTAAAATACCCCAATTTAAAATTATTATGTTGATAGCCCGGCCTGGCGGAACAACAGGGAAAATGACAAGGGAAAATCAACAAGGGTTGTATAGGAATTCTAAAACCAATAAGTTTCTGATTTCTAGGATTAGATTAGGCTAAAGGATAAAATCTTATCTGCTAAAAAGCTCTGAGTTCAGAAGATAGGCAAGATAAGAGCTCCTGTAAATGGGAAAATTGATTGGCTCCAAATCGCATGGAACTCCAGTGTTTTAGACTTAAAAATAAAAGTTTAAAAATTCTTCTTATGACACAGCTGAAGCAGAAAGAAGTCCGCTCAGTTGCCCAACATGCCATGCTAAAACAACATGAATGTCTTCATGTGGAAATCCCATGAGTTCACTCCAGTTTGATGTGGTTATCTTTTCTCCTTTAATACTACCTCTAGAGTTAAGGATGATAGTTGATATTTCATTATTTAGCTAAATAATCATAAATCATAATATTTTTTGTGATATGGTTATTGTTATTATTTTACTATGTGTGGATATTTTGAATGTTAATTCATATTTCATTTAACTAAGTCAGATAGAATGCTCAATGTACTCTTGGCTTTTTACTGTAGATTAATAAAAAGAGAACAATATGATACTTTTATTGTATAATCTCCTTTCTCCTTCTCCTGAAAATAAGGCTAGAAGCCAGGATCTCAGATTTTCTTTGAAATAATCACTGAATGTGATTTCACTAATACAAAATTTGGCAGTCTGAACAATGCTTCCTTGTGATTCATATATCTCTTCTGTACAAGTGTCTTCTTTAATGCATCTCAAAGCTAGGCTTCTTCTACTTGTATTCCTTTCTACTTCTCAGGGGATATTCATGCAAAAACTACTTTGTTGCATTGCATTGAAATAGAGATTTTTGTCCCTTTTTTCATGGCAGATTAATGTGGCTAATGCTGGTAAGCAGCTTTAGTCATAGCACACGTCTAGAAATATGGAAAAGAAATTTGCATAACTGTTGAAAATTTGAAGAAGTCAATTTCCTTGCATGTATTCTGCATCTTTTGAGAAGTCTCAGCAGTAATGCAATCTATTTCCAACTTCTGACAGCTGTGTGACTTCTCATCTCCTCCTCTGTCCCTTGGCTGCCTGTGCCAATCTATTTTTTCCTATTCCTTACCCAAGAGAAGATGACAAAGCAAACTGAACTTCTTTCTTGTCCTTTCCTCTCTCCGAGTGAAAAAGGTGACTAGGTATTCACCAAAGAAAGGGATGAAGCAGAAGATTTGATAGCAGAAGACAGGAGGGTTGGCTAGATATTTTTCATCTAAGTTCTAACACCAAGTGTCTATATTCACGTTTCCTTGACATTGCCTCTCTACTTATTTATAAACTGCTTAGTCTCTGAAGGATTATAGGTTACATTAATTAAGACAAAACAATAGGACTAAGTGTAATACATAATGAACTAAAGTGAAAGATATACTACATATGTTTCACTGACAGAGAAGCAGTGAAGGGACAAAGGCATGTTTAGAAAAAAGGATCATAAATCCTAAGTGAATGGTTAAAACCAGGTCTTCATTTGGTACAAAAGGCAAATATTATTAACACTACTCTGGCCTCCAAAAGAAAGTCATTCTAACTTGTGTTGTACTTTTATTATCACTGCCTCAATCACTTTCACATGTTCATTCAGGGTCCTGAGGACTACACATCTAAGTACACCTGGAGAGCTTTAAAATGTTTGTTGTTTCCTATCCTTTTGGATTTTGAATACAAAAGCTTTCAGAAAAAAACATAATGAAATCATTAATCTTCTTCATTAATCAGAAGACAAACAATATAATGGAGAAATCAGAAATGCTGAGAGCTCTGCTCACAAAGAGAAAAAAAGCAAAACAAAGAAACAAGCAAAGAAATCAAAAGCTTGATAAAGGTCAACATACATACTGTATTACAAATGAAAATAAAATCATGAATTATTTGAACCATGGTTTGTTGAATAAGCTAAAAACAAGGCAGATGAACAGGGTAATAATTTCAAATCAATATGCAACAAATCAATTCCTGATTTGTTGCATGTCCTTTCTAATGCAATCTTGCCTTCAACCTCTGTGGATTGGTTACAGATTTGTTGCAGCACAAAACTAACCCATCAATAAGCTATGAATTCCTGTTCACCTGATACATTAAACTAAAAATAGGAAAAACACAGTTTACTGGGAGCTGTAACTGAGCCAACATTATATTTAGCTTAACTTTTTAGTACTGTTTTGCAGAAACAATGACAATGATGTCATAATATCATTGATTCATAATGTCTCACAGCTGGATGTGGCTGGTCTTGAAGAAACATTGCAGAGAAATATTTGGTAAAGGTAAGAGAGTTTCTTCTTTTTCTAAAAAAAAGTCTGTAAAATTGGTAGGAAACAATGTCTCTGTATTTTTGATATTTGAATTTTGATAGGTTGGTAGCTTTAGAGAAGCTATAAAAAGGCTGATCTGATTAATCCTAAAGGTACTTTGCTGTTAGATGTGAATTCAGAGTCAATCAAAAATTACTTATGAAATTGAGTTTTGAGGTGATGAAAAACTTCAAAGCAAAATAGAAATCTTTATCTGCTTGTTGCCTGCTTATACTATAATTTGTGTTCTCATCAGCAAAAACTTGGTTTCATAATATATCTAAATGCATCTGCCGAATTGGCCTTAAAAATTTCAAGAGCATTAGATAAGCAAAGCTGAGACTTGGCAATTAAATGTATCAGTTTTGTTTTGAAAGAAACAATGAGGGACAAACCTTTTTATTATTAAAAAAAGACAAATTAAGTGTAAGACATCATGCCATCTGGGAAGTTCACATAAAGATCTGAAAACAAGCAAAACAGAAATAGCATAAACTGCAACAAATAGAAAGCAACAGGATGCATGCACTTAGAGGATCTTGAATAATTAGCAAACCAAAGTAGGTATCAACAAATGTGACAAAAACATGGTGTAAACCAGGTAAATTTAATCACAAGTGAGGGGGTGTGAATAAATAAAATCCTACAAAATATTTTAATGCAAACAATGCCATTAGAAGAAGCCATATTTCAAAAGCCTAGTGGACTAAAAATGGCTAAAGAGGGAGTTTCCTTACTTCTAAAAAAATGTGATTGAAACTGGAATATCCATCTACAAAAGCAAATTTTATCGGTGGTAAAATGTGTGTCAAATCGAACATGAATCATATAGTCAGTTGGAAAAAGGTCTTTCGATTAAGTGAAATGGTCCTAAAAATCCAGATTCTCTAGAAGTCTCCCATGCAAGAAGCAATGACAGAAGTCATTTTTGACTGTACGGATGTGAACATCAAATTATTACCCATCAATTCCATATCTTTGGCTCGCAGATAAATTTAGCTAGATGCTGTCGAAAAGCTGGCTAGATGCTGTCAAAAATAGTATGGTGGTATAGACAAACTTTTGACCTAAGCCTTTGCAAGCAATTTATGGGTTCCTTGCCCTGATATTTCTTACTGAAATTTTTGAAGGAATCCAGTTTTTGAGAAAGAAGAGCGTATTTACAACATAATGTGGAATTCTATTTCCACAGTGCTACAGCATCTGACCAATAGTAACTATCATTGTATTGAACATGGGTTCTTAGGGTGATACCAGACAACCCCTGACTTGCTGAGCCATCCTTTCAGAGATGCTTCCTTATCTAAACAGAGAAACTGAATGACCACAGGAAAGCAAAAAAGGTACTGGGAACAGAAGTGCTTTCTGGATTCCACATTGAAATGTCTTCTAGGAAGCTGGAAGGGAACATTAGAAATCTTCCCTTTCCCTTCCCAGGTAAGTGACTGCTGCTGTGTATGGGAGGGGACATAGGATTGCAACAGTGGCTAGAAACTGGGAAATATCATGGCATGTTCAAAATGAGCATCATACCAGCAACCCTGAAGCAGACACAACTTCCCCAAATTTCATTCCTTTGGGTCCTGGATTTTGGATGCCCATCTAAGTTAGCCTATTTTCAGGTCCCTTGGTTCAAAAATTGTTGCCCTGTGATGCATTGTTTCACGCAGTTCAAGTTACGGGAATGAGAACTTTAGCATTATATAGATTTGCTGTTCTCTATCATGCAGGAATAAGGTTCTAACAGGGACTGTTGCATTTGTCTTAGTTTGTCTTTTTGTCAGTACATCCTTTCTTGATTTAGTGACTGTACTCTGTTCCAGTGACTTTGTTGCTAAGCAGAAAGGTTGCTAAGTTAACAGGTGGCCAGGGGGAGGGGAGAGAGGAAGGGAGACTGTGAAGATTGCTAGTTGCTACCATCTAATTTAAAGAGCAATTAATTCTATATAATATCCAACTTACCAGAACATAGCTATCTTCAATGTATAAGTTCAAGAACAACAAGCAAATGACAAGGACTCCTAGAAAGGATACAGCGGATCGCTTGCGCAGGCACCTCATTTTGTCCCAAAGCTTCAATGTACATCTCACATGGAGATACAGCACCTCCTAAGAAAGAAAAACAGTAAAATTTGGTTGGGGCATTTAGCTATCACTGGAAATTTACTTTTTTGGTTACATTTTTAAACAAAAAATATATTAAATTCATTTCCTGGCTCCATAATATGCACAATCTTGCAATGGCTTGGTAGGAGTTTTTGTTTTAATTTGTTTGCTTTTTAAAATCTGTTTCTAGCCATTTTAACTGATCTTTTTAATTTTTTTAGCTAAAATTGATCTATCAGTTACATTTTCTATCTTGGATAAAATAAGGAATACACTAAGGAATACAGTATTCCAGATATGGAAATAATTCACTGGAATTTCTACACAATCATCATGAAAACTAATCTAAAACAGTTTATGTTCATTTTTTTTTCCATAGAAGACTATAATTTGGGGCAGATTAAATGTTACATAGAATTTGAACTTTTAAAAATTGGTATTATTGCTTCTCTGTTTAAATGGAAAACAACCTTTGCAGCCTACTGCTTTGACACACCGAGCGGTTAGATAATTTAGTCAAATTACATAGGAAGGAAACAATATGTTAGTTAAAGGAAATTAGGAAGGAATAAAATAATTGACATGTTTTGATTTTTCTGCAATGAAGTTATAATAATAGCAATAGCACTTAGACTCAAATACTGCTTCAGAGTGCCCTACAGCCCTCTCTAAGTGGTTTGCAGAGTCAGCATATTTTCCCCAACAATCTGGTCCTCATTTTATAGACTGAGGCTGAGTCAACCTTGAGCCTGGTGAGATCTGAACTGCCAAATTGCAGGCAGCCAGCAGAAGTAGTCTGCAGTACTGCATTCTGACCACTGTGCCACTGCGGCTTAATAACCTTCCTTTTTACTAAAAATAACATTTATTAGTAACTTTACTAATGCTTTAAAAATCTTGTTAGGACCCAAATAACCCATTTGGATGGTTGATGCTTTGAAATAAATGCTGTATAATACACATGTTATTGCAACACCTTCTAAAGCATAAAAACATGAGCCTGGAAAAAATATATGGCTGCTTTAATGATTTAAGCAAAGGTGCTTTGAATCTGCTCTCATGCATTGCAAATAATTTCAAAGCACAAGTAAAGTTCTACAACTCAATAATACTCTAAGAGATTTTGCTGCAATTAAAACATCATACTTATTAATGAGTGGTGCCAACTAAAGTGGATTGCATTAGCTGCGTCACAAGTTAAAAAGTCTAATTCATATTTCAAAGTTGAAAGTGCACTAATTGGATCATTGTTATTTTGTTCCTCATGCTTTAGAGGAAAAATAAAAGTGTGTAACCCTATGGATATATATCGAGATGGCAAATAAATTCACTTATTTATGTATATTATGTACATTAAGTACAATATCTGAAAGAAAATAATACCAAAAATGCAGAGTTTTAAAAATAAAACTAAGATGTTTGTTATATCTAGAATGGTAATACCACTTTGTTTTTTAAAAATTCCTAACTTCATTAATTGTTCTGAAATCACTAGATGGCAGTATGGACTTATAGTTGTTGTTTCTGCATCTATTTTACCTCTTTACAATTAGGTTACAAAAATGCATCATTTCATTTCACTTTTTTTTTCCCTTAACATTTTGGACCAAATCTGATTTAACATTTTTCTTTTCAAAAGAAATTTACAGTATATTAAAAAGGTTACATCAGAATTCAAAACTGATGGGGATTTTTTCCCCTCTGGATAAGGAAAAAATGTAAGGCAAAGACAAAAGCTGTCTGTTCACTAAAAAAGCTATTTCCAAAATTCATTAACTACATAGCTGCATATGTCACAGAAATAGAGCAGTGAAAATAATTTATTTGAAATTGTGTATTGCATTTTAAAGATTAATTATACATACTTTACAAAAAAACAGTGAAAACAGACAAAGAAAATAAACCAGGAGGAATGAAAGGATAAGCAGATAAGTTTTGCAAAATATAAATAATATTTCACCTCCAAATCTGTGAAAAAAGATAAAAGCAATAAGGCTGGCTGAATAAGAGATACAGCTTTATTAATTAATTTGGAGATTCTTTAGTGGGGATATGTTCATTCATCCATTCATCCATTCCATTTGTTCATTCGTTTGTTCATTCATTCCATTTGTACACTGCCAATCTCAATTAAAATAACCAACTTCTTTCTTTTCACTTGTTCTGCAGAGGTCCATACTACTAAAAGTTTAGGATCGGAAATATCTCCTCACTTTTCTAAGTTCATCCTGCTTGACTCAAAGTATCAAATCTATTATTAAAAGTTATCTTTATCTCATACTGTTGATTTACCTTAAAAATATGTCTAAAGCTTCCGGTCACAGTAATTCTTGTCATTAAGGAAGTTGTCACAAAGCATGATCCAGCTGTTAGGTCACCACAAGACAATGAGATACATGTAAAAAATGTATATACATCAGAATTCTGCTACAAGGGATCAAAGACATATCTGGTCCATCAATCTGTTTCCACAGCTAGATACTTAGGGGATATTCAAAAATAGGATACTAACTGCACTGGTTTTTTTGTTTATTTATTTATTAATCACTTTTAAAATAAAGAGAGAGAGAATCAGCAAGCAAAAAGAGAAATAAAAAAATATTATTCTATATTCTATACTATTCTATATTATTTACAGATATATACTGATATACAGAACCTTGCACAGGTTTGTCTGGTGCACCAATTGCGACCCTACTTGGATCAGGAGGCTCTCCTCACAGTCATTCATGCCCTTGTCACCTCACGGTTGGATTATTGCAATGCATTCTACATGGGGCTACCCTTGAAAAGTGTTCGTAGGCTACAGTTAGTCCAGAATGCAGCCACGCGAGCTATTGTAGGTGCACCTAGATACACCCACATTACACCAATTCTTCATGAGTTGCACTGGCTCCCTATCAGTCTCCGGATGCAATTCAAGGTGTTGGTTATTACCTTGAAAGCCCTACATGGCTCAGGACTGGGCTACCTTCGAAACCGCCTTCTACCGCATAGCTCCCAACGACCAGTAAGATCCCACAGAGTCGGTTGCCTCTGGATCCCATCAGCTAAGCAATGTCGGCTGGCGGGCCTGTGGGGGAGGGCCTTCTCTGTGGCTGTCCTGGCTCTCTGGAACCAATTACCCCCTGAGGTCCGGGCTGCCCCCACCCTTCCAGAAAGCGGTGAAGACTTGGCTCTTCTAGCAGGCCTGGGGCCATTGATCTCGCTATGGTGATCTTGTGAGACCCGGCCACGAATTGGAGTGTATGGGTTGTAATGTTTTCTTTTAAACTTTTGTATGGGATATTGTTCACATTGTTTTATTCTCTGTTGTTAGCCACCCAGAGTCCCTCGGGAGTTGGGCGGCATAAAAATGTGACAAATAAATAAATAAATATTATCTATAAGTAAATAAAGGAATTCCCAAAGTTGTACAATTGGAACAGCACATATTAGAAATTAACCATAAAAAACAAAGAATGCAAAAAAGAGAGAAAAAGAGAATAAGGGCGAAGAAAATTACTAAAAATCTTATAGATTTTTATCGCTTTCCAACTTCTTTATTGTACTCTTGACTAATGTACAATATTTATAGACTTTAATTATATCAATTGATATTCTAAGGCAGGGGTCTTCAATAGTGGTGGGTTTCAAATTTTTTACTACTGGTTCTGTGGGTGTGGCTTGGTGGGCGTGGCATGGTTTGGTGGGCATGGCTTGGTGGGCATGGCAGGGGAAGGATACTGTAAAATCTCCATTCTCTCCCCAATCCAAGGGAAGGTTACTGCAAAATCCCCATTTCCTCCTGATCAGCTGGGACTTGGGAGGCAGAGAATGGATGGGGATGGGGCCAGTCAGAATTTTTGCTACCGGTTCTCTGAACTATTCCAAATTTCCGCTACCGGTTCTCCAGAACTGGTCAGAACCTGCTGAAACACACCTCTGGTCTCCAACCTTGGCAACTTTAAACTTTAAGACTTGTGGACTTCAACTCCCAGAATTCCTCAACCAGCAAAGCAAAGCTGGCTGAGGAATTATGGGAGTTGATGTCCACAAGTCTTAAAGTTGCCAAGGTTGGAGACTCCTGTTCTAAGGTACTGTTTCCAATACTAAAAATTACTGAAGCTCTTACCCTCCATAACTTTCAAATAAGACCAACTAGTATCCATCTATGGAATTCCTTTCAATCAGATTAATGGAGGAAACAGGCACTGTTTCTTAATTCAAGAGGGACAGAGATATGTGAACTGTAACAATTGCATCAGTTCATTCCTGGTTGTTCTGTGATCTTTTTAGGTCGGCTCATTTTCTAGAACCAAATGGAAGCTTTGTGACAAGCTATTTGGCAAACATTCAAATAAAATGCATGGCATTAAAATGTGTGTGAACAAAGAGCTCCTGTGAGCTTTTCTATAATGCTAAAGTAATTACAAGATAATCTTAGCTCTAAAACAATATGCACATTAAACACATTTGCTAATGTTCTTAGCTTTTTAAAAAGTAATAACTTATAAAGTTGAAACTAAAAGAAATACCCCAAAAATAGTGGGTACTAACAATGCAGAGTATTTGCTTCCTTGGTGTCACTCTGAGTATATATCTTTATGCTTTATTGCTCAGTCTTATGCTCTGCTTAGCTGAGGTCATCATCTATAGGAGCTGATGCAAGCATACCTTCCCCATCACTCATATACAAGGACACATTTTCTTCTCATTCCAATAGGAGGGTATAGTTCAGCTCCAGCATGTTGCTGCATCTTCTCCTATGCCACTATTCAGCAAACCTGTTTGTCACATCTATGAAGCCATCAAATTGCACTATCTTGCATTAAAGTGCTATTTAGAAAATATGGATGGTGCAAAGGAAGTGCAAATTTCTGTCTGGTTTCACTTCACAGAGAGCCTTGTTGAGCACTCTAATATTTCAATAAAGGCTTTTCCATTTTATTGTATAGGAAGCATTAGTTGTTAATGATATTATTATCAAATATGATGGATTTTTTTCAATGGTGAAATCCAAATTTTTTTACTACTGGTTCTGTGGGCGTGGCTTGGTGGGCATGGTGTGGCTTGGTGGGCATGGCTTGGTGGGCATGGCAGGGGAAGGATACTGCAAAATCCCCATTCCTACCCCACTCCTGGGGGAAGAATATTACAAAATCTCCATTCCCACCCCACTCTGGGGCCAGCCAAAGGTGGTATTTGCCAGTTCTTGGAACTACTCAAAATTTCTACTACCGGTTCTCCAAATTGCTCAAAATTTCTGCTATTGGTTCTCCAGAACTTGTCAGAACCTGCTGGATTTCACCCCTGATTTTTTTACAATGTACAATCCTCTTAGACTTTATATGAAGAGATAATCTAACTAATTATGAAAAATATGTACTTTTTAAAAATCTGTGGGGTCCTTAGTGCTGAGTTTGTTGTCTTGCAGACATTTCATTATCCAACCAGGTAACATCATTGGTGATAGAAGGAAGTGGGGTTTGCTCTCTGTTTATATACAAGTGGCTTGCCCTGTCAATGTTGGTGAAAATGTTTTTAGTATTTCCTATTGTTTACTGTTTGATTGCTGGTCTGGAATTAATCCTGGTTTTAATCACTGATTATTGTTGATTGTTTCATATGTCTATTCTAGTTATTCCATTTTCATTATGACAAAGGTGTCATTTGCATACTGGATCCATATTAGATTTGTATCTATGGGAGTACTATACTTTCTAGACATTGCATTACAGAGTCTGCTATGTATCCTGAAAGTGGTGATTTGTTGGTATATATTTGTCAAACTGAAAGTAGGCAGTACGGCAAAAGTTAATGAGGTCCATGATTCTGGGTATTTCATTTTTAGTATTTGTTTAATACTATGTGTTGTGTAGAAGTGCTGCATGGATTCTTTCACTAATTCTGGATCTATAGATGTAACGAGTGCTGTGACATCAAATGAAATGATGATCTTATCTTCTGTTATCATTCTCTGATTCTTTTGCGGCAGAGCAAGGAGTTGGAAGAATATTGCTTCCCTCTGTAAGATGTCCAATCTTATTTAGCTGTGCTGTAGATTGGGTTAATGATAGAATTGCACAGAAAATATGTCAGGCCAAAGGGACTTTGGGGCATTCATAGAAGTGTGGGAGAATGGGTCCACTGCTTTTCATCTACCACTATTCTTCTTTTGTGATTTTGTTTTTCTTGGTAAGGTCACTAAGGGATCTCTTGATCCAATGGTCTAGTTTCTTTATTGGATTCATTTTAACTGGGATGTAGGTTTCTTTATCTTCCAATAATTCTTTGGCTTTTTATATATATGGTGATCTGTCCATCATAACCATGGTTTGGCCTTTGTCTATAGATAGGATGATGATGGTTTGTCTGAAACAGAACAGAAACAGAACCAACTCAAAAGCAGAAGACAGAGCAGCCCTCAAAAGCCCAAAAGACCAAACCATTGTCATCCTACCAGCTGTTATATCAGAGTGATGTATTTTGATACATTATTTTTAAACAATGCATCAAAATTTAACCACCAGAGAAGCTTAAAATTTGTATGCCCATCAATATTTGGCTGATATTATAAGCATTTAGTTAAATTTTATCTTGTTTTCATTATTTTTATAAATAACTCAAAGTGGTGAACATACCTAACTTTGTCCTATTTTCCTCACAACAACCATTCTGTGAGGTGGGTTGGGCTGAGAAAGAGTGACTGGCCCAAAGTCATCCAGTCAGCTTTCATGCCTAAAGTGGGACTAGAACTCACAATCTCCCAGTTTCTAGCCTGGTGCCTTACCACTAGATCAAACTGGCTTCTACATCTACATTTCTTGAACATATTACTTCATATTTGTTTTTTTTTTTCCTGAGACAGTTGCAACATATTGCATCTTTCAATTGAGATGATCTCTTATCTTCAAGCATGTTCAATTTTATCTTTCTATTCTTCCTCTTTAAAAGCTGTTAATGATGCCCCCAGGCCTATATATTATTGCCTTCATCAAACTTCAGAAGAGATATTTCAAAACACTATCAAAATAACAGCATGTCTCCCATGGATAATATTAAATTAAATTAAATAGGACATAATTTCAAAGTTATTAAACAGATTTGTGGAATTTCTTGCTAATGAAGTGAAAAACGGTGCAGGCAAAAAAAAAGTATATTGAAGATCAAAATATAGGTTGTAATTTATAATAAAAGTTTATTGTCCAAAATAAAAATATGGCAGTTCTCCTCAAATTGTACATTTATTATCAATCAGAAAAGAGAAGGAAAATATCAAAAGAGAAGGGGTGGGGAGGAAAGAGAAGAGAAGAGAGGGTCCAAGACAGGATTGGGATAGGGTGACATGGGAGCTGTAGAAGGTTTAGTTGGGAAAAAATTCCTT